ATAGGCTGCTTGTCTTTTGACATTTGCGATGCGTAATATGTCAATGATCACCACAGATCATGAAACAAATGAAACTTTGTGTTTCATTAAGATGTTTATTATTTTGTGTAACGTTCACCATTATCACATATGGCATTTCGGCACATGAGATAGATATTGTTTGCCATAGTTCATGGCTAGTTATCATTTTTATTCACCAAAATAATTGTTCCTTTTGTAGGTAAAAATGTGAAATACCTGTAATGTGATATTCTTAAAAACATGTTGTATTTATTAAAATTCAAAGTAAACTTTTTGCACCATTCTCAAATTAGAAGTGCATAATTTTTTTGATTTTTTTTTAAAAATTCTGATCAAGACAGGCAGCAAATAGGAGGTTATGTTTATTTGGTTCAAAATTCACAAACAAATTTTAGAAAATTGTTATATCAGGAATTTGGAGGGAAAAAATATGGCGCTCATATGTATACCGGTAATATTGTATGCACCTGAAATCGGCAAATGTTTACCAGTAACTACTGCCCTCTATCAATTTAGTTTTATCTCTGTGTAAGATATTTATTTGTTGGCTTTGCAGAAAATCGGTCTTTTAATTCTTTGAATGTCCCAACTCATGACAGAAAACATCAGGTAAGGTACTCAAATCGTGAGGTTATTTTCACTAGGGGGGGGGGGGGTCATAATGATTGTGACAGCTGTACAGCTTAGATGTTTCTGTATGAAGTCTATTGTGCACAAAGTTTTCAGTCAAAAATAAATAATGGTTTCTATGTATAGTATCTTATTTGCATATGGTTTCCGTGTATACTATCTAATTTACATATTGTTTCCATGTCTACCCTCTCGTTTGCATGAATATTGGTTATGTGAATTCTTCATGTATGTAAATGTGTCGAAATGGGCGTAGTGCGAGTGGTTAGTGCTAGTAGCACTAATCCGAAAAAGTACTAGATCTAGTGCTAAAATGGCACTAGATCTAGTGCTAAAATGGCACTAGATCTAGTGCTAAAATGTGCACAGTGCGAGTGGCATTGTTATCGCATTGTCAACAACGTCGAATAATAGGAGGGGCATCAACAACCACTTTCATATTCAAACTACAAACAGTATAAAACATCGGCATATACGCGAGATATCCATAATAATACTTTCTTTATATGCCGTCGTAA